CATTTCTATACCATTGACAAGTGACTAATGAGGGCAAATGGTGTGTTGCAATATTGGTGTGTGTGTGTGTGTGTTTGGTTGATTCAACAAGCAAGGATGGCTAGTTAAGCATGTATTGTCTAAACATCATGTGAAAGGCACAATATATCTAAGTAATGAAACATATATTGTCTAAATAACATGTGAAAGACACAATAGATCAAAACAAGTCATTAATCCTTTCATTAAGCTCACAATCCAAATACAACACAAGGTTAGAAACATATGCTACTTGCATTCAAAGGCATGGATTATCAAGCAACAAGCATGGATTGTCCTCTCATTTAACACTACACTACAACTACACTATATCTACACTACTAGCACGAAAATAAACTAGGGGAGAGGCACAATCCATCAAGGAATAAGTATGAACCATCAAGAAAATCACAAGAGCATTCTATTAAGCACTATGTTTTGACAATCTCTAAATCTATAGCATCAATACACATAAACATGCATCAATAACACAAAATCTAGAGACAAGCACATGAACATCTATTCTAACACACATAGACATATGGATAGAATGAAATGATCAATTGAAAGCATTTAACCACATAAATCATTGAACAATCAAGATCTATATATATCAAAGTGTCAAAACATTAATTACAACACTAATCCCTCAATAATACACAAGATTAAGATAAAGAAAGCATGCTTGGGGCTAACTCTAGCCCCAAGAGGATGTCTAGCCACTCATGGTGATGTTGCTCCAACCCTCAAGGGCTAACTCCATGGTTGAAATCTGCTCCTTGTTGATGAAGAACTTCAATGGTGTCTCTGGCCTCCTCCTCTTTTCTTCTTCCCTAAAGCTTGCCTCCTTTAAGAATAATCCCTAGAATTGTCTATTTCTCAAAAAGTGCATCATATTCCTTTTATAGGTAGGTCAAGTGACACACCAAATGAGCTGGGGTCATGCAAAGAATATTCTCAAATGATTGGATAGAGGACGGATTGAACAAGCTGGCTTTTAACTTTTTTGCACTAGAGAAAGTTCGATCGATCGAACCTTGGACTTGGATCGATCGAACTTGGCTGAGATCCATCGAACTTAGGCTGGATCGATCCAACTGGTTGAGCTTTTGGGGAAAAGACAAATCCGAGATATTTTGAGAGATATTTTTGGAAAAAGGACAAAAGTGGTTAGTGGGTGGTACAGCTGTGGATAAGATCAATCATTTGAATAAGGACAAAAGTGTTCGATCGATCGAAGGGTGGTGTTGGATCGATCGAACTTTGGACTTTATGCTTTTGGTTAAGGTTTGGATCTATCTTGAAGTACTGAGATCGATCAGTATTCGATCGATCGAACCTTGAAGTTGGATCGATCGAACTTTGCCGCTTCCCACCATTGGTTTCATTTGCTTCTTTCTTTGTCCACTTTGCTCCTTTCTTTGTTTAATCCTAGAATTGCTTCAATTAAGCTTTTATTTGGCAGAGTTAGCTTATTTTCGGGATAAGTGCCTGAAAATGGAAATAATACGAAATCAATCTAAAACGGTAAAGTAAGATAGATAAAGGTGCTAGAATGCCTAAGTTTAAGGGGTTTAAATACGCACTTTTCAGCGCTCATCATAGATGTCGGCTATCTCTTTGACCCACATAAAGCTTATTCACAAACAAAATATGTGTTTACCTGTGGCGACATTGCTATATCATGACGATCTATGAAACAGACAATGATTGTAACTTTTTCAAATCATTCTGAAATACTTGCAATTCATGAGGCAAGCAGGGAATGCATTTGGTTGAGATCAATAATCCAACATATTCAAACAATGTGTGGTCTCTCATCAATAAAAGATAGCCCAATAATATTATATGAAGATAATACAGTATGTATTGCACAAATGAAAGAAGGGTACAGTATATTAAAAGTGACAGGACCAAGCACATCTCACCAAAATTCTTTTATGTACATGAATGCCAGAAAAAGGGTGATATTGATATTCAGAAAATACGTTCATGTGAAAGTCTAGCAGATCTATTCACTAAAACGCTTCCAACTATAACATTCAAGAAGCTGATGCACAACATTAGAATGCGTCAACTAAAGGATCTTCAGGGTTGAACTAATGCAACAATGAGGGGGAGCAATTGATCGAAGGGGTATTAACATACTGTACTCTTTTTCCTACGTCCAGATTTTATCCCACTGGATTTTCCTGGCAAGGTTTTAATGAGATAGTTTTAACTTATGCAATATCATTTTCAGATACACAAGGATACTGTACTCTTTTTCCTTCACTAGGGTTTTGTCCACTGGATTTTCCTTAGCAAGGTTTTAACGAGACATATTCTTAGTGTAGTGCAGTGGACCTCAATGGGGAGTGTTATATATATATATATATATATATATATATATATATATGTTGGTGTGGGGTCCACATGTAATGATTATATAGATTGAAGGGTTTGAGACAGCTTATGGTATAAGTTGTTTGGTCTGCTTGGTGCCCACGTAATCATGCCTATAAATAGACTTACCTATGTACAAATGAATAGTGTAGAAATAAAAAGGCAGTTTTCTCTCTCATATTTGTCTCTCTTTCATATGTTTACATGTCTCATTTCTTGTATCAATTTATAGTTCAATATCATAGTTCATAAAATTGAGACACAATTAATAAGTGCACCCAATATTTAAAAATAAAAAGTTTTGTTACAACGGTATGTTTTGGTTTGTAGTAGTTCATTTAAACGTGTGCCTCATATGAAGCTAATTTAGCATCAAAACCGTCACCTCATTCCACAGTCCTACATAATACGATCATCAATGAACGTCAGGTGAATACTCGGATATCCTTCCCCCTTGCATTTATTGTAACACGTGACTTCAAATTTCCATATCTATATATGTATCTCTTAAATGTTGTAATTTACTAACTTGCTTTCCCAAAACGACACTTTGATGTTTTTATAGCCGACCTCCACTTCTTCAATTTGCCTAGATATTTTTTTTTATTTGTACAATAAAATCTATATTACTTATCACTTCTCCAATCTGGATCTTTTAGATTTTTATACAAATCTATCATGTGACAATATTTAGAACCCTGTATTTTTAATATCTTTGTAAAAGTCTAGATTTTTCTCAAAAAAAAAAAAAAATTAATTAAAAAATATATATTTAAAATTCCTTAGAATAGCATTAATTTTTACCACTCCTCCTTGATGTATTGAGACTTTTAGCATGCTGCCTGGTACTTCTAGGCGGGACAAAACTCAGATTCCATCTTAACACATGTCACAACTGGCCCAAAAATAGTGAGCTCAAAAATAAATATCTTGTGTTGCTTTCAAGTTATTAATTATTTCAAATTGAACCTTTTCATTTTTATTTTGAATTTCAAATCCCGTGAAACAAAATTGAAATGGTGAAACAATGGAATCAAAATACTCAATTATTTTATTACATTTTTTCAAAAATTGAATTTATGAAATATTGAAACAATGGTGAAGGAAAATTATTTTTTAAACAATGCTCTTTCTTTACCACTTTTATTTTTACATGTAGTTTATCGTTTTCTCTTCTCTATTTTTTTTTTTTCATCTCTATTTTTCTAGGTCACATTTTTTTCATTTATTTGATTAAATTTTAGCTCAAAAATTGGCATGCTATACATATTTTGGTATACAAATATATAAATAATTCTAAGAGTGCTTTACCCCTAGAGAGAAAATAGACAAACTTTAGGCTTTTTTTTTTTTTTTTTTTTTCAGTAACTGGGATATACAGTACTATTTGCTCCCGAACACTGTAAAATTATACTATACATATATTTCATGAGGCACCACCACCTGAGTGACTTACCAAGCTACCCTTTGGAGTCACAAACTTTAGGTTGTATATAATAGTAAAAGTCATATGGTGATATCATCGCAAATCAATCAAGAGCCAGAGATATGATCAGTTAAGAAACGTTGGCCACGCAGAGAGAGAAAAGAATATGAGAGAGACGGTGCCGTTTTGGGACTTACACACACACACACACACACATATATATATATTGGTATTTTTTACTTAAAGGGTAAAATGGGAATTAAAGAAAATATATAGCATCACGTGCCTTGCTCGTGACTGGTTTAACGCTTTAGGTTGTCATTCACTCTGTCGGTTACCCCCTCTATAATACAACCACCTTCTTCAATTGTATGCACCTTCAATTCAAAGCACCTACAATTCAAAGCTTGAACCTTGCAAATGATGACTAATATAAATTCCTTTAGAAGTTTAAAGAAACAAAATATAGTAAATAGAAATTCACAAAACAAAACAAAAAAAAAAAAGCAAAACAAAAAGTTCATCAAAAAATTATTGGAAATCTTTGGAATTAACCTTAAGGGGATTCAAAAATTAGTCAAAAACTACACCTATAAGTGGAAGTGTTGAGTTCAATTCTCCCACGTTAAGATCAGTCTCATTGAGAATTTTTCGTGAACCAGCTAGTATTACGGGTTCTTGACATTGAAGTTTATCATACGGTCCAATGAAAATTAGTCTCGCTCAAAGAGTGGAAATTCCTTCGATTTTAGTCCGGCGTTAAGTCCTTAAAACTATGAATTTTTTTTTTTTTGAGTTATCAAATGAGTTTCAAATTTAGTGTATCTAGTATTTTTTTATTATTATTTATGATATACGCCTTCATAGTACAGCGGTTCGATTGACTATTATTATTATTTTTTCTCAAAAGAGATTTTTAATCTCAAATTTTGTGTATCTTGTATTTCTTTATAGCAAACGTCTTCATAGGTAGCGGTTGAATACGTAACTCTCCGTTGTCCTTGAAAATTTGACTTCAAACCTTGGCAAAAAGATATTGATTTATGATTTGTTGATTACTCGACTAGAAATGCATCATGATTTTGTTTTAGAAGGGACATTCTCATATCGCGTGACCAACTAGCAATGACACATTTTCTCGAAGAAATTACATCTTCAAACATAACACACATTGTTGTCAAAATGACTACGTACTCCATAAAATAAGCTTTCAGCACTGTCACACGTACATTTTGACTGAAGTAAAAGCAACCAAACTCGTCAATGGTGGTACATTACAAAGACAATTTGATACATGATCACAAATTCTATCTCACATGACATGGACACAAACAAACAACATATGTGGATACAATATATAGATGAAACAATTCTAGGAGCAGAAAGATTGATTGATTTTTCTTAGGCCTTGGAATCCATGGCCAAGATGGTGCTGAGATTCATTGGGTTCATGTACTTGGAGGTGCCGGATAGGATCTGTTGCACAACTATTCTGTTAGCCCTCTCCGACGGGTGGAATGCATCCCAGAATGCATACAAATCTCTGTTGGGACACAAGTTGGACACCGGTGTGCAAAGTCCGAGCCCATTGTAGGGACCTTGGCCACAACATGCTATCTTCGATGTAACAAATCCTGTTCATTCAAAACATACATATACGTTTAAGACTTGAGTAGTTTTTTAAAAAAATAATTATACATTTGACAAAATTCGTCCAATTTTGAAATAGTAGGTTGTAGGCCCCACCACATGAGAAATAAATAAAAAAAAAAAAAATTGAATTGAAATCATGATTGTTCGCCCTAAAAAATTGTACCATATATATATATATATTATATTTTCACAAAGAAAATGTTGGGCATACCATATGCTCTAGGGTTAGAGATGAAATCCATGTGCATTTGATTTGTATTTGCAGCTATGAAAACATTGGCTCCAATTTGACTGTTTACGCTGTTTATCATTTGAACAAGTTGTGGGTTGTACAAGTGAGTCGCCCGCTGCAGTTCGGGGTCGCATTGGCCGGTTCTGCTCCGCTGAGCCAATTCCGCCGGGACGCAACCCATTGGACCAGTTCCGGTCACTAGAACCCTTCGAGATCCCAATTCATATAACCTCTGCAATTATCATTAATCAAACTCCATATTCTTTAATATATATATATATAATTTTAAAATTGTAAATTTTTTTTTAGCAATACTAAATCTTTAGACACCGGACCAATAATTATGGTGTTATAATCTTTTTTTCTCCGAAAAAGAAATTTAGGGTTCTACTTCCGTTAGGGACATATTATAAACCAAGACTACTTATTCACACTATTCTCTTTATATATTTATTTATAATTTTACAGTGGAATGATTTGACTTGTCAACATAAATACACTCCTATTAATTGCTTCAAAATAAAGAGACATGAAAATCTTAATAAATCACAATCATTTGAAATTTCATTTTCAAAGCATTTTTCTATTAGACATGGAAGTCTTGATGAAGGTAAGGGTCACATGGTCTGACATTTCATCTTTAAAGCATTTTGCTTTTATAATAGAACTAAATTGTTTTTATGTCTTTATTATGTTTTTGTGCTAGAGGGATTAAATAGGGACATGTGCCCTTAGTTAATGTGGGGAGAGAGTGTGTTTTCTCACGCTTAATGAATTTTTCTTTTTACAAGAATTATTTGAGACCATTCTTACCTAATTTTTAAAAATAATTATCAAGTTTGAGAGCAACATGTATATAGTGATGATTATAAAATGCTCTAAGAGTTTTGATGTCATCGTTATCAATAATAATAAAAAAATAACACATTTTTTATGAGTATATATGATGATTTATCATGTAGTTTGATACGCGACGGTTTTAAGTCCGATACGCCACTCATATTGACCAGTTTACACTGATTTTATTCGAGTATGTTACACCATAACCGTGACCATAATGATATATACTAAAACATGAATTATATAATGATTCTTTTTATATGTATATATATAATATTAGTATTATATTACCATGAGAACTTTTCTGTATTCGGAGATGAGATAGCGAATATAATCTGGCAAAGAGAATTGGCGAGATCTTGCAGAGAAGGGCACCAAATAGTAGTTATTGACAAAGTCATTGCCACCAAGGGTGATGAGAACTAGGGCTTCGTTCACTAGTCTCTGTGTCGGACCAGCTCCAATAAGACGACTCACCCGAAGCTGGTATTGCTGGAAGTACTCCAATTGCTTGTAGATTCTGATTATGTTCAGCTGCAAATATAATTAACAAAAACATTTTGAGCATTAATTAATTCATAATAATTAAATTATCATAAGTGTGTACTAGCTTAAGGTAATGCATGGATGAGTACATGTACACTGTTCGGTTTAATTTAGGACTGTAAATGAGCTAAGCTTAGGTAGTTTTTGTAGAGTGGAAACAATCTCTGACTAAGTCTCGACTTAATTTTACCACAAGGAACCTCATAATTTTACCACAAAGAACCTCTTGATGTGTTATGATCTCGCGTCTCGTTTCATGATATTAAAAATAAATAAATAAAAGGTGAAAGAAAAATAATGTACTGTTTTTGGTGGGTAAGATTGATAAGAAGCAAGTTCCTCCTTATAGACGAGAAGGGAAGTGTTTTTTTTTCAAAAACTAAAAATTGTGGTTTGCAAGGAACTCTAAGGAGGGAAGTATTGTTTTCTATATATATATATATATATATATATATATATTTGTATGTATGTATATTCTAAAAACTAAAATATTATGAAAACATGGTGTTGATGATTAAACGTAAACAATTTAAACTATTCTTACAAACTGAATTCCAGTGTCATTGAGGATTCCAATCCCAGCAGAAGCAAAGTTGGCACCAACTAGTAGTTTCTCTTTCTTGAGGAAAGGACTCAAGTATGGCATTGTGGGCTCTGTACCCATTGCCTCACCTAAAAATACATACATGCATGTTATAAATATATATATATATATATATATATATGAAGAAGTACCAAATTAAATAACAAACACCAACAATGCTAAGATATATCAGAGAGAATATTTTGAAACTCAACTGATAATGTCAGGAATGTTAAGGCCATTAGAGAAGCGTCCGGTGGGACGGTGAGTCGGGTAGTCAATGCCATAAGGAGGTGAGTCTGCGCGGGCAGTGGTGGCAAGGTAGTCATTATTGCCGCTGTCCACAAGTGAATCTCCAAACACGAAGAAAGCCCGAGCCTCGGCTTGAGGTGCTACAAACCCTAGGGCCAGTACGAGACCTAGAATCATCGACGAAACGAGAGCAAATGAGCTGTCCATGAAGCTGTTTGTTGTGAAAGAACCTTAGAACAGCTCTTTATTTCACACAAACAGTTTTGGGATGAGCTTGTTTGAACTGGGATACATGGCCTTATATAAGGTTAGGATCCTCCAGTTCACTGTGAGACTGTGTGTGTGTGTGTGAGAGAGAGAGAGAGGGGCCACAACAGCAGGATCAAGCTAATGCATTTAATCAATTATTCCAGAATTTTTTGATGGAGGGTTGTTTGGCAGACTTAAATTTGCAAAATGTTTTGCTTTAATAAACATGTTTCTTTTCTAGTCACTTTAGTGATGCTGAGATGAAGCTTTTAATTAACAAACTTCATTTTGTGTGTGTGTGTGTGTTTCATTTATTTATTTATTTTGGGGTGGGGTGCTAAGCCAAGTCCAATGACATGCAACTATATATATTTACAACATGTTTTGCTTTATTAAACATGTTTCTTTTCTAGTCACTTTAGTGATGCTGGTGAGATGAAGCTTTTAATTAACAGACTTCATTTTGTGTGCGTGAGTGTGTGTTTATTTATTTATTTTGGGGGTGGCCAATTCCAGTGACAACTAATATTTGCACAATGTTTTGCTTTATTAAACATGTTCTTTATTTCTAGTCAATTTATATAGTGATGCTGAGAATTAAGAAGCTTTTGATTCTGTCACAACCCACTCATTAGTCACAATTTGATGATGTTGATGAAGCTCTTGATTGTGTCACAACCAACTCATGCACGCATGGGGCATAAATAAACACTTAACATGTTTCTTTTGACAATAATTTGCTTCATTGTCAAGTTATATCAGCCTTTCAGCATCCTCTCAATCATCAACAACAACACAATCATCAACACCTAATTTATTGTATTATACTTGTTTCCTATCACTCTCATTTACTATTAATTGTCATGACATGGAAATAAAGCCAAAATCATAAAGAAAGTGATTTCAGATATTATCAGTTTAGCAAATAATAAATTCCAAGGTTTAATTAATACAGAAAGTTCAAATTTTCTGAAAAAAATTGACATATATGAATATTTTGAAAAATAAATATCACTAATATTCGGAAAAATTAAAGTTTCCTAATGGAGGGAGATTCAACAAAGTGAGATGAAGATCAATATCATAGTTTTGTTGATTTTCATCTAATTAAATTAAAATACTTTTTTCTTCCAAAGTTCAAGCAAATGCTCTTGAGTTGAGATCGGGTGTAGTATAACACAAGTTGCATCCGATGGTTCACATCACATACATACACGTGTGATGGGGCACACATGTGAGTGATGAAGGCTCTGGATATAGTATAACACAGGTGCTTACAACAAAGGATCTGAGTCCATTCAATCTCTTTTTTGGGAAGAGGTGCTTTATAGCAAAGGATCCGAGTCCATTCAATATTTTTTTTGGGAAGAGAGTTTATACCATTCAATCTCTTTTTTGGGAAGAGATTTTATAACATCCGAACTAATATCAATTGATTAATTAAATTAAAACATAAATATATGATAACTATCGAGATTTCAATGAGCTAGTATATGGTTTGCAATATATTAATGACATGTCTGTCAACCATATTTTATCAAGACAGATTAGTAGTGTTGTGACCAGACAATGCATAGCTAACATGAAAGGCATGTGTAGCAACCACTCTTGAAGGCATATTAAGTTAGTTGTCACTAATTTAGGAGCTTATTAATTAGGTTCTAGCAGACATTTTAATTAATTAGCCTTAGTTGTCACTGATATTAGAGCTTCTTAGGGTTACATATATCACACACATATATATAAGTACAGATATTTCCAAAACAAATGAAGAATTATGAGCACATGAGGTCTTATAGGTAGCTTTTCCTCCTATAGAATGGCATATTTATGAAGGGGAAACAGAAAGGAGGCCATGAATAAAAATGCCATGTGATCAACATAAATAGGGTGGGGTTGGATTTCAGCTAACCCCAAAGGAAGTCACTATGTAGCATGTACCACCATCTCAAAGTCATATACTAAACAAAATACATAATTTAATATGAACACACACACACACATATATAATACAAATAAACTAGAGCTTTCAAGGATTAATATTGCCAACCACTTTCACGGTTTAAGATTTGCAATGAATTCAAAACTATAGCTCAACGTATAGATATCTAGATTTAAAGATTAAATTGCCTCCATTCAATTGATCGTGTTTATGAAAATTGTTGAATATGGTACACCATTTGATCTTGCATAAATTATCATCATCATCGTCATTAATGTCTTTATCCTACATAGATGCAGTCGGTCACCTGAAATTATTATTTTATTCTTTCACGTAAGCCTCACAGTAGCTTGCCTTCTGGGCAAACGACGCTTCCTCTTCTAACAGGTGCATCTACTTACCCTAATTTGATATTTCATAAATCTACCTAACATTTTGGATAAATAAATGGTTGTAATAAGAGTATGGTAAATGCATCAACATAAAGCAGTACGAAGCTTAATAGTGTAGTATGTACCAACTATTGTATACATACATCAAATGCCACCACCGATAGATTCTCAAACTGGTGTTTGAACCAATTTTTCAGGCTCTTAACTAGTACCACTGTCATAAAAATGAAAATGACATTCATACCTTTTAATTTTACAGACATGCAAGTACATATATTCTGTTATTATATATTCTTTTCAATGGAGTTGGTACCAGATTTCACTTGCCTTCTTCATATGCTACGTACTATCATAAACTTGTAGGGCCATTAACTTCGAAGTTCAATTTCAGAATTACAGTGAATACTAACATGGTACTTAATTCCCATTGAATGAATGTAGGGCAGATATTTGAATGTTCACTTGGGTTAGTGGGAGATAGTCGGTAAGTACGAATAATCAAAAAAGAGTTTTGTTTATCCACCCTATTTTGGTTTGGTTTTGCCAATCCTAATCGTCCTCAGAACGAATATAATGTATCTAAAAGATTTTCATATATTCTTTGCCCAATTCCGAAGTTTATATAAATTATATTCCCATGAAAGGCAGTGTGTCAATTGATGGTCCAAAATTAATCAAGTTGTCGCCCACTATGGTCCTATTAAGCATATTATGACAAAATGATGAACCAATGTCATTTTCTTTGATGTTGCTTTGTAATGTTAGATTATGAATGATATTTGAAAAGAACGTCGTAGCAAAGATCACATTAATTGAACCTATGACTCTGACTAACAAGTATTATCTACAATCACAATATGGAATTTGAATAAAACATATATCCTAGCTAGATTTTGGACAGAAATGTGCCTAGTACTAGTTTGATTGACTGGCATCATAAATAAATAGATCATGGAACAAATATATATATATATATATATATATATATATATCTAAGTTTCAATAATCACTGATTGATTGTCCCATTTCATGCATGTCACAACAAATAGGCAAGCTAGCTTATTGGGAGAGACATGGAGTACTTGATCATTTACATGCACTATTTTCTATTTATTGATAACCCAACTGTCAATTAAATATATATATATATATATATATATATATATATATATATTTTCAGTAGATAAATTGAGCTTTATTTAAATCAAGAGCTACCAAAAAGTTAATTATACAAGTGCAATTAATGACCCCAATTGTTGGAGAAGTTATGCACCGACCCTTTTAGTCACCCATTTATTCAAAAGTTGTTATAAGATACGTACATAAAAGAGAGGACTAGTGGTCCATGTGAAGATTGAAGAACCTCATCAAGGTTGAACCAGCTAGCACTCTTTTTTCCTTGGACCGCTCAGAAGAATTTTTTGGGTAATTTTCAGGTACTGTATGAGAGACGTGCGTTGGCGGTAGAGATGGAGCCAGGATTTATTTTCAAATGAGGCATAAAATGATAATTGTGAGACTTTTTCTATAGAGGTAAATTAGTATTTGGATTATTTTAGCAAATTTGTGAGACTTTTTTTAAACAAATAATAAAAAAGAAAACTTACTAAGAAAAAGATTAATGGATAAATATACTATTTTAAATATATTAATATAGAATTTTGTTGTTATTTTGGATTAATTAAGTAAACTACGAATGTGAATTCTTAAGTAAATTTTGATTATATGAACTCAATTTTTAAATACTGATCAGATCCTTACTTTCCAAAGGAAGGTTAGGAGTTCAAGTCTCGAAGCATGTGTGTGTGAGTACCAATCATGATATATATATATATATATATATATATTGGTTACATTTACTAAATTGGAATTTTTTTTAGCGTAAAGTTAAAAAAAAAAAAAAAAAAAAAAAAAAAAAAAACAAAACCTGTTACATAAATAGAGTTGTAACTACTACTTTTTAAAAATGATTAACTTACTATTAAAATTTTACTATTTATAATAAAATTTATTATACTCGGTTTAAACTTTTATACCGTAAAAAAATAAACTTTATTTTCATACAATATATTCATGAAAAATTAATAAATTACTTAAGTAAAAAATACCTTCTTTTTCATGTGATATATTCATGAAAAATAAAAAAAATTACTTAAATTGTTTTAAAATTTTCTACTTAAGATTTTTATTTAAACAATTAATTTCAATAAAAAAAAACTCCTAGTTAATTAATTTCAATAATTATAGGTAAATTTAATGGTGAATATGTCATCAAATTATTATGTATTTTTTTCATAATTTATTTTAATAAGAAAAATGGTTTACTTGTAATTCAATAAGAAGTAGCATTACAATTGTTTAGTGAAAAATAGCCCAAATTTGAGGGCATTTTACAACAAAATGTGATAGTTCAAGGTATTATGCACATAATATATAAGAGAATTATTTATAAATTCGGACATAGTTCATAAAAAATATATATATTATTTTTATTTTTTTGCACTTTACCTATTTTTTTATTAATAATATTGTCAAATGATTGTGTTAGAACCAATATATTGAAATGGGGTATTTCTTGAAGATAGTTGAAACATCTCCCACGTACAAACGAAAGACAAATGGTAGCACTATCTTCGGAATTCAACTAATCCCAGATATCACATATGTATATTCATGCAAGTTACACTTCTCATCATG